TACTTGTGTGATATGTCGATGCAAGCAGGTAAAGCGGACATTACCCTGTACGGAATACGTGAAAATCGCAGGTCAGTAAATACTATTTTAAGGTTTTGTGCCAGTATTTCTTCTTTCCATGGTCATAAATGCCTACGCCGTTCGTTAATTCTCTCATAAGCAAATTATTTTGTATGATGATGTCGCGGAGCCTGAAATTGTGTTTCATCAAAGTTCATAGACAACTATTGAAGCCGCTGGGAGGGGCATTTTGCAATTTCGCTAGTTCCTTCTAGTTCATGTTAACTAACAGGCCTCATTTTGGTGATACATGTAAACTCTTGTGAAGCTGCAAGAATGGTACAAGCTATCCACCTTGACTACAAGAATTGGTAGGTCTTCGCGGGATGACCTGGCGTAGTAGCCTTCCCCTCTCTCCTCCTCAGCACCATTTGGTGCCCTCACCAAGCAACCGCGCCCTGTCCAGAAAGATTTGGACGTCTTTCGGAAGAAGAACTCGTGAATTTATCCAGTAGTGAGTGAAGATGGACTTGGATCGCTTTCCCAAACGTTATTTTGATTACGAGGAGAAAGAAATCAACGAGCTCGAAATTTCTTGATCAGATTTGTTTATGTTAATATTCAGCAAATATATGAATCTCCAAAAGTTTTTAAACTCGAATATTTCTTTCTAATCATCAGAAACAGAAGTTCTCGCAGCCTCACATATTTTCTGGGCCTTGAAGGACACATCCCGCGTTCATTTAATGTGCAGATGTTGCTTTCAGACATTGTAGACAGGAAGTCAGTTCGCCCTACAGTGAATTATCTTTTGATTGTCTCTAGAGTGCGCTGAATAAGGCCACTTAGGGTCTACTAAAAAGGGCGGATGCGCCGCCCATTCCCGCCTGCACGCCCATTGATAGCATTCATTTCTGTTTTTTCTTTTTCTGCTACAAAATTGAAATGAATGAGAAAAGGCTCTGTTGGGGACTCCATACACTATTACGGTCGAATCAGTCTGTCATTTTTGTCGCTGAAAAGAAAACACAATAGTTTTCATATTATCAGTTAGCCTCCACCTTTGTTGAAATACCATTCTGAGCAGTTAATGTTATGCTAGAATATTCTTTGATAGAACACTTCCATTTCATCTTCATATTCCAGCTGAAGGTGAGTTCCTGTGTGAAAAACGTTGCAAGAAGAGGAAATCCTGCGGAATTCACAAATGTCAAGAGCGATGCTGTGTGCTACCGGAACATTTATGTTTACAGGTATTCTTTCATGTCATTCCTGTTGTGTTGTAGAAACTTCCTTTCTCTGAAATGCAGGATTCGGAATGAATCCTGCATGTTGGTCATTATGGAATACCTTTTTGTATTTCTTCTAGTTCATTTTACCCCCCCCCCCTTACTCTCTCTGCTCTCTTTCGAAACTCGGATTTCCTAGGAATAGTTTTATAATCGTTCGATCCAAACGTGCAATGTTCAGGTATGCAATAAGCGTCTTTCATGTGGCTTGCATTTCTGTGAGAGCATTTGTCACGCCGGTCAATGTGGGAGATGTTTGAATTCAAGTGAGTTTTGAGCCCTCAATGTGTTAAATATCATGCCACAGTTAGGCTACGTTCATACTTTGCGTCAGCGTACACCAGCAGGAACCAGCGTGCGCCAGCGTCAGCGACCAGGAAAGTATAGGTATCGATCTAGCGCACGCCAGTTGGCATACGCTGAATCGACATCTACACTATCGTGGTTGTCCAAGCTCTGTTGTACGCTGACGCAAAGTATGAACGCAGGCTTACATCCTTAATTCGAATAGGAATGCGATTGTCCGCTACCTTTGCTGTATTCTCATTTTATTATAGGTTTCGAAGAGCAGTACTGTCATTGCGGACGCACAATGCGCCCACCACCGGTGCCTTGTGGTGCTCCCTTGCCAGAGTGTGATGAGCCGTGTGCTCGACCGCACGCTTGCAATCATCCTGTTACGCATCATTGTCACAGCGAAGAACGTTGTCCGCCTTGTACAGCTCTCGTCGAAAGAATGTGCTACGGCAAGCATGAGGTAAGTCGAATTTTCGAAAATTTGGTCAGTATATTT